CCCTGAGATCTCTAGGAGGAAGTGGTGACAGAGGGGATGTGTGAGTAGGCGCCAAAGACCTGAACTGCGGTGGGGGCACCATGACGGAGCTGGCGCTGCAGCCGGGGAGGGCTGGAGATGGGAGCCACGGGAAGGCACGTCTGGTCCACTCGGACCAGGAGTCCACCATGGCCTGGGCACCGTGGCCCGGAGTGCCCTTCCCTGGAGAAGCTGACAGCCCCTCAGGCAGGTTGATCTGGACGTGGTTCCAGCATCTGTCGCCGGGTCCCAAACTGGCTGGCACACCTCATTCAAAGCTGACTTGCTTTGAGTCCTTTATCCAGTCAAGTTGGGTTAGAAGCAGAGTCACCGACCAGCCTGGGTTCCAGGGTCAGGGCTTCGTCCTGACACAGAATCTCTGTTTGAGGGAAGAAGCACATTAAATTTGTTTAAATGTAGCCAAACCCATTTATTCATTTAATATAGAGGGATGTGGGAAGACTCAGCAAGACACGGAACTAACATAAGTTAAGGTGCAGGATCATACTCATGAAAATTGCCCAAGAGCAATTTTCCAAAACACAAGCCAGGCCCTTGGCTCTCTGGGGTGGAGGGGTTGTTCGCACTCTGTGATGTCTTCCGCAGGGACAATGCAAAAAATAAAATAAAATAAATAAAAAAGGAGACCCATGGGTTTTGCTATAGAATCAACAAGAGCAGGCGTGGGCCAGGCAGGCTGACTCCGCAATTCGCATGTTACCGAGAGGCCTCCGGCTGCGGAAACTCCGCACAGGAGCTCCAGCTCCGATGGCGGCCCATTGTAGACGTCACCATTTCCACGGACAGGAGATTGGGACCGTGTTGTCCTCCGAGTAGATCGCTCGTTCACACAACAAATAGTCACCAAGAGCTGGTTACGCTGAGGCTGCAGTTGTCTCCCGAGGCTCCGGGCTGTTTTCAGGCTGAGCATGTCTTTCGTTGATGAATATTTGTAGGGTAGCATCCTGGGTAAGATGCTACCCGAGGCGCAGTGCAGGGGAGAAGCAGTGAGGGCAGCAGCCAAGGCTGCCGGGTTCTTGGCGCCCCTTCCCTAGCTCTCTGTGGGAACGCTTCATGTGAGAGATACGCACATGGGAAAGGGGGAAAGAAGTTACCACCCTGCAAGGACCCATGAGGCTCCTGTCCTCGAGGAAATCCCTGGAGGTTCCCGGGGAACAGGATTCCCTGCAGCAGGAGCCCCCCCAGCACGGGACGTAGGGTTGAGGGCCACTGTGTTCACACATCCTTAAGGCAGACGCCACCCTGTTTTCTCATGTTCATAGGGCCAGCTGCCATCAGCCGCCATCTGACCACAGCTCTTCCAGAATAGAGAGACATTCCCACGTTCAACACTGCTCACATGGATTGCTGGAGGCATCTGAGTTCCAGAAACCTCAGAATGGGCAGGGAGGTGTACTGTGCACTTCAGAACGACAGTGGTGATCGATAGTTAGCTTTTGTTTTGTTTTACTCAATGTCAGGTGCCCTTGAAACAGCCCTACATGCCATGTTCTAAGCCTTAGTCTCCTCACCTGTAACATGGGACAATAACAGCAATGACCCTGACAGGCGGTCTGGTTTGGATGACGAGATGGTTGGAGTGCTTAGCTCAGGGCCTGGCTGAGGGAGTCACTCACGCAGTCTTTTCACATCATGATTCGGCCATCCGGCCTGGTAAAGGGCACACAGTCAGGGGGCGAAGTCCCTGAGCTCCAGTTCACAGGCCGCTGGGGAAACGCCCAGGTCACCCTGTTCATCAGGGTACCAGGTTGCCAGTTCGGAGAAAAAGGCAAATCAAGGGCGCACCAAGCACGTTCAGCCTGACACGAGCCCACCCGGAAGTTTCTACCCGACATCTGAGACTCTGTGCCCAGTAGCTGCTGGGAGCCGGCTGCCTGCTCCATCCGTAGGGGTGGCTTGTCCAGGCCCAGCTACTCAGCTGCGGGGCCAGCTCACGATTCCAGAGTGACCACCGTTTCCCAGGCTCTGGGTCAGGCAGGTTCAGATTATGTGCAACTGGGATGGTCTTCCCTTTTCTTATTCATTCATTCATTCATTCATTCATTCAACAAAGGGTATTTACAAAATACATGCCTTGTGCCAGGTGCCTGGTAAGAAAGAAAGATGTTCAGGTGAGAAGAAGACAGACAAGGACCCTGTGTTCTGGAGGGGGACACAGACAGCGATTCAAGGTGCCTTAAAGAAACTGAAGCCCAGAGCAACAGAAACAGTCGCTGGTCCCTGGTACAGCCTCAAGAAGGGGTTTGGGGAAAGTCACATGAGGAGGTAACATGTGAGCTGAGAACTGAAGGGGGGCCCATATCTGTGAAGACAGGTGGGAACAGCATTCCGGGAGGAGACAAGAACAAGAGCGAACACTTCTGGTAAGCACGGGATTGGAGTTCTGCAGAAGCCATAACCCTAACCCCAACCTTAACCCTAGCCCTAACCCTAACCCTAACCCTAACCCTAATCCTAGCCCTAGCCCTAGCCCTAGCCCTAACCCTAATGCTAACCCAAACCATAACCCTAGCCCTAACCCTCATCTAGTCCTAACACTAACCCTAACTCTAGCCCTAACCCTAACCCTAACCCTAATGCTAACCCAAACCATAACCCTAACCTTAACCCTAACCCTAGCCCTAACCCTAATGCTAACCCAAACCATAACCCTATCCCTAACCCTGACCCTAGTCCTAACATTAACCCTAACCCTAACCCAACCTTAATCCTCACCCTTACCCTAACCCTAACACTAACCCTCACCCTCACACTCACCCTCACCATCACCCTCACTCTAACCCTAACCCAGTGATGGCGAACCTATGACACGCGTGTCAGAGGTGACACACGAACTCATTTTTTTGGTTGATTTTTCTTTGTTAAATGGCATTTAAATATATAAAATAAATATCAAAAATATAAGTCTTTGTTTTACTATGGTTGCAAATATCAAAAAATTTCTATATGTGACATGGCACCAGAGTTAAGTTAGGGTTTTTCAAAACGCTGACACGCCGAGCTCAAAAGGTTCACCATCATTGCTCTAACCCTAGCCCTAACCTTAGCCCTAACCCTAACTCTAAACCTAGCCCTAACCTAACCATAGCCCTAACCCTAGCCCTAGCCCTAACCATAGCCCTAACCCTAGCCCTAGCCCTAACCCTAGCCCTAACCCTAGCCCTAACCCTAGCCTTAACCCTAACTTAACCCAACAGTGAGCTCCAGAGGTGAGCGGATCACAGGCCCTCTAAGATGGTGAGACACCTGCTGTGGGACCTGCCGTGGAATAGGAGCCTGCAATGGACACTTAGCCTTGTGATGGGCAGGAGCCCCGCTGCTCTCTGGATTATGCCTCATCCTCCCATCACACCTGCAAGGAGAAGCCGCTGTCCTCACTTTATCGACAAGGCTATGGAGGGAGGCATCGAGGGGGAATCCGGCTGTCAGGCGAATCAGGATACATCCGTGGTGGCCCAGGCAGGAATGAAATCCTGTGGTCTTCATACCCGAACTTTATAGAAACGTTCTCAGTCGCCATCAGGAGCAAGTGGACCCAGGGCCACCATGTGGGTGCTTCGCGAACACTGGTGACTTCCCAGGACCTGGGGGCGGGGGTTGCGGGGGAGAGTGCATTCACCGTGAGATCGGTCTCAGCCGCGGCAGGCTTCAGGCTGTCCTTCACGCAGGACACAGAACAGAGAACGGCCTCTCCTTTTCCTGAGTTGAACTTGAACTTTCACGGGGAGGAAGTGGGTTTAGGGGGAAGAGCATGGGGAGGGGTTGGTCTGCCAGGCGAGCGGGTAGGGGAAGGGGCAGCAAAGGAAGGCAGCAGAGCGAGGCTGGCCTTCGGGCCGCGGTCTCAGCCTTCTCAACCCTTTGCTTCTCTGATTGATACTTTTCAATTATTCCTTCCCATTTCACTGACATTTGAAATGCTATTTTTTTTTTCTTTGTCCGAGCGATAACTTCAAATGCCTAGGCTCCCTGGTCCGGGCAGCCCTGTTGAGCCGGAGTGGGAAATTGCTTCCATGTACAACATAATGGCACTGACAGGCTTTTGCTAGGGAAATGAGAGCGCCCGTGGGACACGCCGATGATAAGCCGTCCGGTTTTGAAATTGTATTTCTCTGTATCGGAATTAAATCTGGACTTTATATTTCTGGGCTGCCATGCTCAGGGCTGGCCCCTATACAGTGCACCCCGAGACTGACAAGCCGTGCTTACACAGGGGCTCTTGCGCTTAAATTGGATCTGGGCTTTTATGTGCTCTCCCTATTATTAGCTATTAAAATCTCTCAACGGCACCCCCTCCACACCCCTGCTTCTTCTTCACTGTTGTCTTCTTTCCCCCCCTTTTCCATTTTAAATAGTGATAAGGTTTCCGAACCTGAAACCCAGACGGTGGAAGTGGGGGGGGGCAGGGATGATAGGGGACAAAGAGGCGTTCTCATGTCTTTGGCAATAACCCCCACTTGGGGGCTGAAATTCAGTGTAAAATTAGTGCAGACTTAGTAAAAGGTGGTATTGATATTCTGTGGTTCACTGGTGGGGTCTGCTTTTCACGACAACAGGGTCCAGGGCTGCGCGTGTAATAGGGGAGCTGAAAGGCCTTGTGTGGCGGAGGGAAAGGGGGGGGGCCTCTTCTGATGCTGCCTGTAACCCCTGATCTCTGTTTCCCGTTCTCTTTCCTTGTTGCTCGTATGTCTGTCTGCTTTCCCTGTGCCCCTGAGTCCCCCCACCCTATCCCCCCAGAATAGGAAGAGTTAAATACCAAAGTCAAGTGCCCCCCGCCCCTTTGCAATGGCACCAGCTCTGACCACGGCCTCACTTAGTTGCTGGGTTAATGATTCTATGAATACACCAGCACCCAGCCACGTGAAGGAGGTGTCCGGAGGGCATCGCGCATGTAACGTCACGGTAACCCGCGCACTAATCTACCTCTCGACATAAGAAAGAAGGAAGCACGCAAACATCAGCTATGCTCAGGTGAGGACTCCGTTCGGCTCCTGTCTGCTGACACCCGAAGCTTTCTCTTGGTCCCTCGGTCCCGTTTTGAAGTTACTCGGGTCCCTGGCTGCCTCCTGTTCCTGGAAGATTTCATCCTTGGCATTTGAATGGGACGGGGGTGGGGGTGGGGCTGAGACGTGCACGATCCTCTGTGAATCTGGTTGAATAACCCCCAGACCTCATCCCCCGACAGCAGGACCCCTGTCAGGTAAGGCCACAGCACAGGGAAAAGCAGCCGGGGGAGCTGGCACCACGGTGCAGGCGGCTCAGTGCTGACCGTGACCGGCTCCTGCTGAAGGGCTGGGCGGGGAGATGGGGGAAAGGGGGAGGTGGTGCAGAGTCCGGGAGCCCCCTGGTCCCCCTTTGGCCCGGAGTTCTGAGTGGGCTCCTTGGGAAGAGGAGGGGAGGCTGCGATTCAACCAGAAGGGAACGCTACAGCTTGTGTCTCCTAAATGCCATTAGCAACGGGGAAGGCTGGGCGCAGAAGGGCCAGCTGAAGCCTGTCATTGAAACAGCAAACAGCTCTAGTCAAATGTATTGGCAAAGGATTAAAAATGCACCAAGCATGTATTTGTCCTCTCGATGGGAAGTCCTTATGAATAGTCTGAAGAGGGCAGAGCCCTGCCCTTCAACAATCAGCGCCGTAGTCGTCCCTTTAAAAATATGTTTTAATGTGCGAGATTGCAGGATGCCAACGTTGCCATTAAAACCCCTCTCCGGTTCCAATCATTTCTCCACTCACATTCCTTCTCCACCCCCCTCCCTCTTTTCTTGCTATTTTTTTAAAAATTCCACTTCTTCTTCCAAAGCTTATTCCAAAGTGGCCGCAGCAGGAAAGCAGGGTGACCCACCAAGGTCAAGGTGACCTTTTCTTCGGAGGGATTTAGACTCCGATGCTGGTGGCCGAAAGAGCCTGACCTAGTCCCGGCTCTGTTCTGCCGTCACCGGGCCACCGTCTGTGCGCCAGAAGGTGTCCGTGGGACGGCTCTGTGGATTCCACAGCTCTGGTGCTGATGTGGGGCCCACAGCTGAGGCACATGCCCAGGGTCAAGGGTGAATGTGTATCAGAGCTCAACGCAGGTCTATTTGATGTCTTAGCTGCTTCCCTTCCCCTCTCTTCCTTTTCCTTGTCTCCCTCCCTCCCTCTCTCTAGATCTCCCTTCCCTCCCTTCTTTCTTGTTTTGGCTCAGTCTAGTTTTTTCTTTTTAATATATTTTCATTGATTTCAGAGAGGAAGGGAAAGGGAGAGAGAGATAGAAACATCAATGATGAGAAATAATCATGGATCGGCTGCCTCCTGCACACCCCCACACATGGGGGATGGAGCCTGCAACTCGGGTATGTGCCCTGACCAGGAATCGACCCACAACCTCCTGGTTCATAGGTCGATGCTCAACCACTGAGCCACGCCGGCTGGGCTCGGTCTAGTTATTAAACAGACCTCTCTGTTGTGTGCCCGAGTCCACGATGAGTCACAAGCAGCCTCGCCTTCAGAGATGCACCTTTTTTTCTGTGCACAGGACCCCAGGAGCCCGTGGCGGGCTGTGGGTCTCCGCTTCCCTACCCGTATGCCTGCCTGAGGAAGGTGGGCCTACGTCCGCTCTAAGGTTCTCTCCAGATCTTGGTTCTCCAAGATGGTGACCTGCGGCGAAATGGCAAGTGTGTGACCAAATCACCCTGCTCTCCTGCATTCAGTGACTTTCAGCCAGTTCTCGGGGCAATGGGCCCCCTCCATGGCGAAATGGCATCCTCCTTGGGCTCCCTGTGCCCGTGTTTGACACGTGGTGCCCACGTGCCCTGCTGTCCGCACTCTTGCTCACCCACCGCTATTGTTGCACGCACACACTCAGGGAAACAGAAGTCAATGCAATTTGAATTTCTCTTCCCTGGTTGGGTCTTTGGTAAATTGTTGTGGAGAGCTATTGATCTCTTACTGTGATGTGATTTTTAAACAGCATTAAGGTAAACATAGTCTCATTGTGTTCCTTTTACCGGATAACACTTACCCAGACAAAAGGAGCCCGAAGCTGCCGGCGCTGCTCAACTTCCCTCTGGGAAAGACACCAGGAATCCCCTCCGGTGAAAACAAAGCAGAACGAAAGCTCTCGGTGCGGAACGGCGGGGACATTTCTCTCCGGTCACTCATTTTGATTGAATCGAGTCGCCGTCTCTGATCTGGTTCACCCACCGATACAACAACAGGAAGCAGCAAACTGTGTTTTGCACATTTGCACACAGAACGTGGGTCTTCAAACAGCCGGTAAGGTGTGCGCGTTCCAGGCTCGGACACGCGCAGGTGAGGGTCGGCTGACTCGGACCCTGGGACTTGATGGAGTGAGATGCCGTCTGGAGCAGCCCCCAGTGGGCGCGGCCCTGGCCCACGGGGGAGTCCAGGCCCAGAGTGAGTGATGGTGGCGGCCCTGCCAGCTGACCGGTACCGAGGGCTCCCGGTGGGCAGCCTCTGTTCTCAGTGCTCTCTCCCTACCGTCTCATCACATCCTGGCGCCACTGCTTTTACCACCGGCCTTGTGCTTTACAGATGGCGGAGCTCAGCCGCTGCCAGGCCCGCTTAGGAACCAGTCCTGGGCCAGAGGGGCTTTGGACCAAAAGGCGGGAAAGCCTCATTCTGCCTGTGGCTCGGCCACTAGAGTCACCTCCAGGTCCCAGGTGCTACTCATCACCTGGGCTCTCCAGAGAAACAGAACCATCAGGCTGTGCCTACCTACCTACCCATCTACCGTCTACCTACCTATCCATCTGAGAGGGAAGAAAGATAGATTTTATTATTTTTTAAAATATATTTTTATTGATTTCAGAGAGGGAGAGAGAGAGACAGAAACATCAATGATGAGAGAGAATCATGGATCAGCTGCCTCCTGCACGCCCCCTACTGGGGATTGAGCCTGGAACCCGGGCATGTGACCTGACTGGGATTTGAGCCGTGACCTCCTGGTTCATACGTCGATGCTCAACCACTGAGCCACGCTGGTCGGGCCATCACTTGGCTCTTTAAGGGGAAACGTTCATGTTCACGCAGAGACTAACGTGAAATGGCCAATAAAAGGGGAAGACACCCACGTTCCAAATCCCTTTTTCTGAGTAATTCATTTATCCATTTATTAACTTATTAACAACAGTTTTGCTGCTCCTGCCACACACACACACACACACACACACACACACACACACACACACACATACACGGGAAACTTTGTTTTTCCCAGTAGCCGGGAGCCCAGAGACCAGCCAGCTCTGCGGTGCTGTCTGTCGATTGGAGCACAGCTGTGCCTCACCGAGGGCGGAGAGCAGCCCCCCTGTTTCCGAGTTTTGCGAGGTGTTTGCATTGTCAGAGAGACACAAAAGGAGATGCAATCGCAACACCCACTTCCCTCCCCTCGTCTCCCGTGGATGCTTGTCCAGAAGGCACCGGGTTCCCATGTTCCTGCCTCTTCACTGTTCACAGCCCTGCTCCATCCAGCCCCAACCACAGCCAGATGGCACTGGCTGCCCCATTTTAGTCCAGGTGCTGATGTGCACCCCAAGGTACCCCCTGGACTCAGCTCAAAGGGGCTTTGACCAGAATGAGGCTTCCCCTGGGATCTGTGCTCTGAGCAGCCCCCCTTGTGCTCCCTGCAAAGGGGAAGTTGGCTGTGAATTCAGAAAGCCTAAGTGACCTACCATTCAGTCCCAAAGAACTATTTACCTCCACGCCCCTTTCCTCCCAACAACTCAAGGGCATGTCAGAGAGAAGATTGGGTATCACCAACACGTCTCAGTCTTGTGGTTCAAGTCCATCATCCTTTCCATCATTATGAGAATAACATTTCCCAAGGTCATGTGAGTTGGGCCCTGCCGACCTCTCCACATCAGCTCCTGCCAGGCTACCACAGGGCCTTTGCACGTCTCCTTTGCTTCCTGTTGGTCTTCATTTAATGGCACCTCCTCAGAGAGACCTTCCTGGGTAGCATCATCTGGAGTTGTTTTCCCTCTTATGACCCATCCCATCATCTTGTGTATCTTCACATCCTGCCATTCTTTGGTTTGTTTTCCCCTCCGGCTCCTGCCCCTTTCTGCTTTCATGGAAGCCCCATGAAAAGCTTGGCACAAAGTAGGACCTCAATAAACCCTTGTTGCCCAGATGCCTGAGATGTGTGGCTGGAGGAAGAGCTCCCAGACCGGGGGCTGCTCTGAGGAAGGTGGGCCTGGGTTCGCTCTAAGGTTCTCTCCAGACCTTGGTTCTCCAAGATGGTGACCTGCGGCGAAATGGCAAGTGTGTGACCAAATCACCCTGCTCTCCTGCGTTCAGTGACTTTCGGCCAGTTCTTGGGGCGATGGGCCGCCGCCATGGCGGCGTGGCATCCTCCTCGGGCTCCCTGCGCCCGTGTTTGACATGCGGTGGCCACGTGCCCTGCTGTCCGCACTCTTGCTCACCCACCGTCATTGTTGCACGCACACACTCAGGGAAACAGCCGGGGGCTGCTCTGCAGTGGGGACCGGGGCCTCTCGGATTCTGGACTCCTCGTAGCATGTGGTCACTGTGGTCCAGGGCCAGTCGCTTAGCCTTTGAGCTTCGGTCTCTACAGCTGAGAAACAGGGCAAGCCAGACCCTTCTTCTCAGGAGCTGGGAGGACCGACTGCGGTGAAGGGCGTGAAGAGTAGCCGGTGCACTGTAACCCACGCTACACGCCTTCGTCCCCGGGAACACCGCCAGCTCCCGAGGGCAGGGACAGAGACCACGCGGCCCAGCCCCGTGCACGTTCCATAGCGATCGCTGAGGGAAGAGTGGCGGGGGTCTAAGCCAACACCGAGGAGCGGAGAGTGAGGGAATGACATGGAAGGACAGCTTGTCTGGGGTCCCGGGTGTGATGGGCTGAGTGTGACCCTCTGGATGTCATATGTCGAAGCCTTTGCCCCTGGCGACTCTGAATGTGACCGTAGGTGGATAAGGGATGTTTGCAGGGGTGATAAGGTTAAGCGAGGTCAACAGGGTGGGTCTAGTCCAATAGGACTGGTGTCCTCATAAGACGAGGAGAGCAGGACACAGACACGGAGAGGGAAGACAGAGAGAAGGCGGCCGGCTGCAAGCCAAGGAGAGAGGCCTCAGAAGAAACCAGCCCCGCCGACACCTCGATCCCAGCCTCCAGGGCTGAGAAGAGACGCTCCTGCTGGGGAAGCCCTCCCCGCCACCCACCCCCCCCAGCCGTCTGTGGTGCTTTGCTATGGCAGCCCCAGCAGATGATGCACAGAGACCCATGGGCAGCAGTAAGCGGCCCTGGGCAAGGAGAACTGACAGCATCCAGGCGCCGGGAGAAGTGCATTCCAGAGAAGGTCTCATGGCAGGTCCCTGCAGCCTGGCAAGGCGGGAGGTAAGGGAGGAAACTGAGGCACGGCGTGGGTGCAGAGGCCTGCCCACAGCATGCAGCAGGAGGAGGCCAGGCCCGACAGTGAGGTGGGTGAGCGCAGAGGCTCTGAGACACACCCAGGTGCAGATCTTGGCTCATCACTTGCTAGCCATGGCCTTGGCGGGTGACCGGACTGGAGTTTCAGTTTCTCCATCTTTAAATGTGGCTGGCCACAGTAGGGCCCACGTCTTCGAGCCGGCGGGTGGCTTCTGTGAGACCGTTGCTTGGACAGCTTTCTGAGCACGCGGCGAGGGGCACAGGATGAGTGGCACGGGCACTGCTCACCGTTCCCATGCCAGGTTGGCAGGACGTGAGAGCCCGCCCCTTCCTGTGGCCCAGCTGCCCCTGGTCCCACGAAGGGGCCCCTGGGTGGGAAGGAGCCAGGCTGCCGATGCTCAGCCCGGGGGTGGGGAGTGGGCCTCCAGCAGCAAATCTGGTGGTTTGACCCCCTCCCTGAGCCCAGGGGCCCACCATTTGGGCCTTTAAGGACCGTCTCCTGTTCCTCCGGCTGCTGCAGAGCAAACACGAAGCTGGCTGCGCAGCCAGCCACCTCCTTAATGTAGCAGCGCAAATGCCGATAGCGGTGTGACAGTGAGAATCCGCGTGAGTAGTCCAGCACAGGGGCTGGAACAAGTCCTGCCTTGCGGTGTGAATCCTCCCTCCCTCCCTCCCTCCCTCCCTTCTTCCTTCCTTCCTTCCTAAAAGCTTGGCACAAAGTAGGACCTCAATAAACCCTTGTTGCCCAGATGCCTGAGATGTGTGGCTGGAGGAAGAGCTCCCAGACCGGGGGCTGCTCTGAGGAAGGTGGGCCTGGGTTCGCTCTAAGGTTCTCTCCAGACCTTGGTTCTCCAAGATGGTGACCTGCGGCGAAATGGCAAGTGTGTGACCAAATCACCCTGCTCTCCTGCGTTCAGTGACTTTCGGCCAGTTCTTGGGGCGATGGGCCGCCGCCATGGCGGCGTGGCATCCTCCTCGGGCTCCCTGCGCCCGTGTTTGACACGCGGTGGCCACGCGCCCTGCTGTCCGCACTCTTGCTCACCCACCGTCATTGTTGCACGCACACACTCAGGGAAACAGCCGGGGGCTGCTCTGCAGTGGGGACCGGGGCCTCTCGGATTCTGGACTCTGCGTAGCATGTGGTCACTGTGGTCCAGGGCCAGTCGCTTAGCCTTTGAGCGTCGGTCTCTACAGCTGAGAAACAGGGCAAGCCAGACCCTTCTCAGGAGCTGGGAGGACCGACTGCGGTGAAGGGCGTGAAGAGTAGCCGGTGCACTGTAACCCACGCTACACGCCTTCGTCCCCGGGAACACCGCCAGCTCCCGAGGGCAGGGACAGAGACCACGCGGCCCAGCCCCGTGCACGTTCCATAGCGATCGCTGAGGGAAGAGTGGCGGGGGTCTAAGCCAACACCGAGGAGCGGAGAGTGAGGGAATGACATGGAAGGACAGCTTGTCTGGGGTCCCGGGTGTGATGGGCTGAGTGTGACCCTCTGGATGTCATATGTCGAAGCCTTTGCCCCCAGCGACTCTGAATGTGACCGTAGGTGGATAAGGGATGTTTGCAGGGGTGATAAGGTTAAGCAAGGTCAACAGGGTGGGTCTAATCCAATAGGACTGGTGTCCTCATAAGACGAAGAGAGCAGGACACAGACACGGAGAGGGAAGACAGAGAGAAGGCGGTCGGCTGCAAGCCAAGGAGAGAGGCCTCAGAAGAAACCAGCCCCACCAACACCTCGATCCCAGCCTCCTGACCCGAGAGCTCACCTCTTTTGGGGTCACAGTGCTGACCCGAGAGCTC